TTCTGATACAAGCCAGGATGCTGTTGGCCTTCTTGGCCACCTGGGCACACTGCTGGCTCATGTTCAGCTGGCTATGGACCAACACCCCCAGGTCCTTTTCACCGGGCAGGTTTCCAGCCACTCTTCCCCAAGCCTGTAGCATTGCACGGGATTGTTGTGACTCAAGTGCAGGACCCAGCTCTGAGCCTTATTGAACCTCACACAGTTGGCCTTGGCCCATCAATCCAGCCCGTCCAGATCCCTCCATAGAGCCCTCCTACCCTCCAGCAGATCAACACTTCCATACAACTTGGTGTCATCTGTAAACTTACTGAGAGTGATCAACACGCCCTCTCACCTTGGTGATGTCTGCAAACATACGGAGGGTGCACTCGATTCCCTCGTGCAGATCATTGATAGAGATATTAAAGAGACCTGGCCCCAGTATTGGGCCCTGGGGAACACCACTTGTGACCGGCCACCAACTGGAATTTAACTGCATTCACCACAACTCTTTGGGCCTGGTCATCCAGCCAGTTTTTTTACCCAGCGAAGGCCTGTCCAAGCCACGAGCAGCCAGTTTCTCCAGGAGAATGCTGTGGGAAATGGTGTCAAAGGCTTTACTAAAATCCAGAGATCAGGTTAGTCAAGCAGGACCTGTCTTTGGTAAACCCATTCTGACTGGGCCTGATCAGTTGGTTGTCCTGTACGTGCCCTGTGATGGCACTCAAGATAATCTACTCTGTAACCTTCCCTGGCACCGAGATCAGACTGACAGGCCTGTAGTTCCTAGGATCCTCCTTCCAACCCTTCTTGTAGATGGGTGTCACATTTGCTAACCTCCAGTCAACTGGGACCTCCCCAGTCAACCAGGACTGCTGATAAATGGTGGAGGGTGGCTTAGTGAGCACTTCTGCCAGCTCCATCAGTACCCTTGGGTGGATCTCATCTGGCCCCACAGACTTGTGGTCGTCTTAGTGGTACAACAGGTCACTAACCATTTCCCCTTGGATTATGGGGGCTTCATTCTGCTCCCCATCCCTGTCTTCCAGCTCAGGGGCTGGGTACCCCAAGAACAACTGGTCTTACTATTAAAGACTGAGGCAAAGAAGGCATTAAGTACCTCAGCCTTTTTCTCATCCTTTGTCACTATATGTTTCCTCCTGCATCTAATAAAGGATCACTATGACCAGTAGCGAGTAGAGCAATGGCATCATAAAAATATATCTTTTCATTTAACAGAATTAAATGGCAACAATTTTTAAAAACTCATTCTACAGAGCTCTGTAGCAAAGAGGCAACCAGTCACTCTATTACAAGTTTAAAAATCTATGGAAAGATCATTGGTTTAGATTATATAACAATAGAGTTTTTCCATAGAGTTTGGTCGAATAGACATGGCATTTATTTTTTAATGACAAAATACAGGTTTTCTCTTCTGAAAGGGAATGGAATGTGATCAATTAGATGCATTTAAAAAAGATCAAGCAACAAAGAAAATGTCTCATGCATTCATATTTTTAAATGTTAGGAGGGCGCTGGAATTTAAAGGGTTCATAAGGAAAATCTGTAATCTGCAATATAACACGATGCACCAGAATAAACCAAGATGGACACTTCTGAAGGAAGCCTGCATTGTTTGGGCCCAATTTCCAGCATACACTTACATAAAGCACTCAGTGTGTCAAATCCAGCATAATTTCAATGCTTGTCAAAAGAGGTGTGTCTCCACTATAACAAATTCTTTACACTGTTTGCAGATGACTGTAAACAGCCCCTAATATATTCATGCTATAGCGCACCAGTGGGAGGGCCTGCATGTGAGGGCAATAACAGACAATGAATTTCAAAGTGATTAATTAAGCCTGAAATAGCTGCTCTTCCTGCAAATATTTACAAGACCAGAACCAGAAACTGCTAGAATGTTATTTGACACTGGAATGGTGCCACTAGCATGAAAGACACATTGCACAGGGCAAAAAGGTGATGGTGTCAAGCAAGTTCAGCCAGAAGCAGCCAACTTTCAAAGGTGCCGCAAAGAGCTGGAAGAAACCTGGCAGAACTCCCTGAACCAGTGAGGCCCTGAAGACAGTGACAGAAGACTAGAAGTAAACAGATCTACAGTCTCCTCCCTAGGCTTTCCAAAAGGAGAGATTTTTAGCAGAACTTTCCCTGACTTCAGAGGAGATCCTCTAGGTCTATGTAAGTGTAACAAAGGCCAAAACACAACCCCTAAGTTTAAAAGGGTGGCTGCTCCAGAAACAGAAGATTGAAGAGTAGCCAGTAAGAAAATGACAGCATGGCTTTAGTAGAAAAGATTCATCATAAATGTGCTTGTGACCAAAGAAGTGGCAGGTAGCTGAAATGGCCTAATAGCTATGTGCTCTCATTCTCTGACTGTGCTCTTTGAGATGCTAAGCCTGCATTTGACTGCTATAGGCTTATACTTTTCTATTAAAATTCTGTTTGGACCTTAATGTGTTGAGTGTTGTGCATGTTTGATGGAGAGGAGGATTCTCAACACTGGTGAGGTCATACCTGAAGTACTGGGTCTAGTTCTGGGCTTCCCAGTACAAAAGAGACATGGATATACCAGAGAGAGTACAAAAAAATGGCCCTGAAGATGATGAAAGGACTGGACCATCTCTCCTATGAGGAAAGGCTGAGAGATCTGGGACTTTCAGCCTGGAGAAGAGAGGGCTCAGGGGGATCTTATCAATGATGTTGATCTTATCAATACCTTTAGATATATAAATACCTGAAGGGAGGGTGTAAAGATGGAACCAGGCTCTTTTCAGTGGTGCCCAATGACAGGACCAGAGGCAACGGGCACACACTGAAACACAGGAGGTTCCCTGTGAACATCAGGAAACACTTTTTTTCCTGTGAGGGTGACCGAGCACTGGCACAGGCTGCCCAGAGAGGTGGAGGAGTCTCTTCCCTGGAGATACTCAAAAGCCACCTGGACACTGTCCTGGGCAGCCAACTCTAGGTGGCCCTGCTTGAGCAGAGGGTCGGATCAGATGACCTCCAGAGGTCCTGTCCAACCTCAGCCATTCTGTGATTCTTTGATTTGGTGAGGAAATGCGAAGTTTCTGGGCACATAAAGGAGCACACTTTAATTAAGAACATACTAAGACCTCAGCAAAACTGCTGTTTAATTAGAAGGCGTGTTTTCCTTAGGATTTATACAAATCCAAAAAAGTCTGTACTGAAATCCTGAATCCAACTTCGATAGTGTTTTTACTGAGGACCCTAAGATAGGTGTAGCCCTTCCTGTACTATCACATCACCCAGTGCCTTCACCTGGTCCAAGGATGG